ATTCTTACAGCGATATTGGGTACACATTTTTTTTATATTTTAATAAACTGTCAAGTATTGTAAAATTAATTGTTACAATTATTTTTAGCCAAGAAGTTGTTGGAATTTATCTGTCTTTAATACAATTTAAAAAAAATAATTTTCTAGACCTTGTTTATTTGTAAATAATAATAAAAAAAATTTTAAGTTTCTGCCCATTCCAATGATACTGAAATTTAGAGACATTTAATAAATTAATTACAATAAGAAAAATTTGTTTCAATAATTTTATTTTTAAGTTCGAAAAAATTATAAATATAATTTTATTTTAGTTAAATAATTTAATTTATTGTTTATTTATTTAATTAAATAATTTTATTCTCAGGCACGAAGGAAGGTCTGAAAGACATGTTGGTGGCATTGGAAAAGTACGCTGATAGCAATGACTTGATGGTCAACACCAAGAAAACAAAAGTCATGATCTGCAGTCAAGGAAACCACACAAAGGACGAGAAAAACTGGCTCTACAAAGGGGAGAAGCTAGAAACAGTGAAGGAATTCAAGTACCTCGGATATTGGTTTTCTCGTAGCGGGAATTACAAGAAGCACACAAAGTGGACTAGCGGAAAGGCACACCAAGCCCTGAATTCAACTTGGGGAGTCATAAAAAGGTCTGGCAAGCTCAGGAGCATTGTATGGAGTTTAAGTTTGGGGCGGGTCCCAGAACCCTGAATTTAATAGGCTCTATGCTGGTGCACATAAATGGCCCTGGGAATTGCCAAAAATACGCTAGATTACTTATAGCAGACGGAGCATAACAGGTGGCCGTGGTTGGCGCTAAAGGAAGAATGTAGGAGCATACTGAATGGAAAAGCTTCAAATTGGGGTGAGGCACTGGTGCAGACTTTAGATGAGATGGAATGTCAGGATATTCCGAGACTGATATGGCAGGAAGCTGAGGTAGAGAAGTGCAGCAGAGACTGGAGGAAAGGCTGCTGATAATGAGAAACAAGCAGGAGAACAGTAACTACAGTAAGATCAATACATCGATCTTTAGCCCTCATTACAAGTTCATCAAAACCTGTGAAGGCAGCGAGCCATACTGGAGGGACCAGGGCATAAAACCATGGATGAATGAGATCTGGACGAAGCTAAGGTGCGGAAACATCAGCAAGCACTTGAAAAAAGGCTTCTCCAAGGACTGGTCGTGTAGGCTTTGCAAAGGGGAAGCAGAGACATCGCCGCACCTATTTATATGCAGAGAGGTCATGAATGCTTGTGACAGCAAAGTGGCGCAGCATGTGAGACAACTAGTTGACGGAAAGTTTGAGGTGTACCTTGAGTTTGCAATTAAAGACATCTTGAGAGGCCCGCCAATCAAGGAAGTATGCATGTACTTTGAAAAAGTATTGGACCGAATGAAATTCGGAACTTCAGAAGCTGAGCCAATGAATGGGGAAGAAGAGTCCAGGTAAACAGTGCAATTACAAATAACCAAAATGAAGTAAATTATTAAAGTTTTATTTATAATTATTAATTGAATGTAGCAGGGGATGGGACAGTATTAAAGTTTTTTTTTAATAGCTGTATTTAAGAAAATAAATAATTTTATTCTAAGTTTCATTATTTTTTTAAACTATAATTTTATTTTTTCAATAAAAATCAAAAAATTATAAAGTGGATAATATTTACAAATTAGTTTCAACTTCAACACTAGCGGACTTAATAGCCACTTGAAATGTAATTTTACCATCACAATTAGGCTCGTAGTAATAGTTGAACCCCAAAATTTTTCTATCTTTGATGTGTCTGTTAGCTCCTGGTGATTTAAGTGCTAAATCTGCAGCATCTTCTGCTGATAGTTTGTCCAAGTTAGACTTCTTAATCTTCAGGACATTTACTTGCGCCCTATTAACGTAAAATCAATTAATTTATACTACAAATTATTTATAATATTATTTGTTAAATTATTCAATAAATTATTTATTAAATTATTTAATAATATTTCAAATAAAAACTTACAACAACATCAAGATCCAGCTCAAAATCGCTATCAATAACCGGCCAGTTCTGCTAAAGCACGTCCTTGTCCCTCATGAAAAATCTTTTGCTAAGAAATACTTAGCTGAGCAAAATCCGCTCCACAATTCTGAAGCAAACCTTGGAGTTATAGGCGCTAGTATTATTATTTGTGTAGCCAGAGTTTTTTCGTACTCCGGACTGTAGGTCAGACAGTTGAGAGAGACTTTCCTGATGCTATTAGTCAGTCCTTGTATTTTGGAAATAGCGACACTCAGCTGCTGAGATCCTATTATGTTCAACGTCACGCCTTTCACGTAATAGTTTCTGCTGTTGCAGAGATACGCATTGTCTTTTAAAAATTCTTCCATCGTTGGGGTATTTGCGACTTCTTTCAGTAATTTAGTCTCGCGACGCTTTAAAAATTGTCAGATTGTCAGCCACAATCTTTGCTGCCAGTTGGAAATTTCTTGGAACGCTGAGGAGAGATAAAATTAATCTTTAGTAATTTAATTAAAAAATTAAAAAAAAAATACATAAGTTATAGAAGAAAATTATTTTAAATAACTAACTAATAAAAAAATTTATTTTTTTTCAACCCCATTCAATTTGATAAAAAAGAAAATATAATAAAATAAAATTTTGGTTTATTAAATTAATGACTTTTGTTAAATTGTACGTTACTTTCTTAATTATTGACGATTTTAAAGATATAAGCTCATCCCGATGTTACACACATCAAGAGCTTTCATTGAAGTACCCACATACATTTTTGATATTATATTTTTCATATATATAAAATATACGTAAATATATAAAAAATTGATGTGGGTACTCAAATGAAAGGTCGTGATGAATGTAAGATCGGGATGAGTTTATATCTTAAAAAATGTCAATAGTTCATAAGATATAAGGTCATTTCTTAATTATCTATCAACAGATAGAGCATTTTCGTATAAATAAAAAAAAAAAGATTTACTTGCATCCGACCAATTTTTGCTGGATATTAACCAGTCTCTTAATGTTGGAATGACCTCGTAGCCTCCTATTTTTCACTCTTGAGCTTGTTTCATTGACGCTTTTGTTGGAATTCTTCAAGGGTTAGTCCTTGTAATTTGGTAAAATCGATACCGTTATTGACTCAAAAAGCTGCATCTTCTTCGGAATAACCTGGAAAAATAATATTATTAATATATTGATACAAATTTTAGAATGTTTTTTTTTTTCAATCAAAATTTTATTAAAAAATTGTAAAAATAAAATTTTGCTTCATTAAATAATAACTATTGTTAAATTGAACTGTACTTTCTTAAATATTAATGTTTTTGAATATATAAGCTCATCCCGGTGTTACATTCATCAAGAGCTTTCATTTGAGTACCCACATGCATTTTTGATATATTTTCCATATGTAGATATATACAATATATAAAATATATGAAAAATCAATGTGGGTACTCAAATGAAAGGTCTCGATGAGTGTAGCATCGGGATGAGCTTATATCCTTAAAAATCTCAATAGTTCACAAGATATAAGGTCATTTCTTAATTATGTATCTAGAGATAGAGCATTATCGAATGTAGCCTAAATACTAATCATATAAATACACTGGCCACAAAATTTTAAAATAAATTAAGGTTTATAAAATAAAATTCTAATAAAAATAAATTACCTGGAATTCTTAATTGATTATCTCTAAGCTGAGAAAATTCAAAATTTTTCATTAAATAAACTGGAATTTCCTTGACTATTAAACAGATTAAAAGCCGCAGCATCTAAGAACACAGTTTCCAACTCCG